GTTAAAAAAAAAAAAAAAAAAAAAGAAAAATTAGCCTATCTCCTTCCCCAGGCACTAGACTATGTGTGTATCATCGCATTTATAATATTATTAAGGATGTGATAGTGGTAGAGGGGGGGTGCGGCGCGGGGAGCGGTGCGCTAACCGAGCAGGTAGTCTTGGTGCGTGTGCGCGGCGGCGAGCGGGTCGCGCGCCTCGCCTCGGTACCACCGCACGGAGCAGCGGCTATCGTCGTGCGGCGCGCGGCTCCAGCGCACCAGCGCGCCCTCCTCGATCAGCCGCACGGTCACTTCCATCTCGCCGTCCTCTCCGTTGCCATCATCGCCGCCGTCGTCGCCGCTCGCCGTTGCGTCGCTCTCGGTAATCGCCGCCGCTGACGCCGTGCCGAGGTCTTCACTTATCTCTGAATCTATAGTAATAAGTATATTGTAGAGGGCAATCAGTGAGATAAAGTGAAAAATCAGAATGGGCTGTGTCAGGTGAATGCAGCGGGTGGGTTAGGACTTCCCATTGAAGCATTTCCGGGAAGATTTTCACTGGTTTTGCAACATGAGGTCGAGCGTTGCCATGTAGTAAAATCACGTTGTCTTGTCGCGTACGTACTTTCATCGCCAGAACGTTCTTTAACAAGAGAGACCACCATAAAGGACCCGTCGGCAGAGCCACAGATCATTAGAAGAATCAACAGTTGCAGCCCGAGATATCGCTGACGGTGACGATGACGATATGTGGCGACGGAGGATTTCCAGGAGATCCAAGGCGCGCGATTAAAGTCCGCTACTCATCTGCGCTACGCCATTTGTTACGGGACAGATGCATAACATGTAAATTAAGTACAAGGATAGTAATGCATTATACACAAAAGTAATATACCCAGTGTTCGAACGAAAAGGGGTTTGCTGAAAAGGCCATCGCCCAAGTGATCCTGAGCCAGCACTCGCAGCTCGTAGTCGGCGGCGGAGCGCAGGCCCAGCACCGTGGCTTCGGCGACGCCGCGCGACAGCAGCCGCATGGTGCGCCACTCGCCGCCCGCGTCGCGCTCGCGGTACCACACCGTGTACTCCGCGTCCACGCCGCTGCCGCCTGCCGGACATGTGCACATGTGCACGGTGACAACGCTATCATGCGATGATGTCATAAGTTCTGTCAAAATCTAACTCTTATTTCGTTATATATAATATATATATAAAGAGGAGAAGGACACCTCGTATGGCGCGCGACGCTAACGCACCGAGCACCTAGGAAAGGTGTATGGCGCTCGAGGCTAGCTCACCGGGCACCTAGGAAAGGTGTATGGCGCGCGAGGCTAGCTCACCGGGCTCCCACCAGAGGTGTATGGCGCGCGAGGCTAGCTCACCGGGCACCCAGGAGAGGTGTATGGTACGCGAGGCGGGGCGCGCCGTCAAGTTGTATGGTGCGCGCGGCGGCACGTTCTCGATGAGCAGCTCAGTCTCAGCTACGACGTCGGCGGCCTCGTTGCTGGCCGTGCACACGTACACGCCGCGGTCCTCCTCTGACAGCTCGCTGATGGTTAGGTTTCCGTCCCGCAGCGAGTGTCGCTCTTCCGGGAGCGAGCTGCCATCTTTCTGTAAACAAACCACCACGCTATATAACGTACAAGCGGCCATCCGCGACACTGTCATAATTTAATCATTTGTGTCCTTCCACTCTGTTCTATATGTATGCAAAATTTAATCATTTAATCTAGATCCATTCAGCCCTTCTGGAGATACCTTTAAACAAACATCCATCCGTACATCCATCTAAACATTCGTATTTATAGTATTAGTAAAAAGTACTGAGTAGAGCGTCGGTGGCTCAGGAGTCAAGCCCTTGACTTGCGATCTTCAGGTCCTGGGTTCGAATCTCGCCATGTACTAATGTGTCTTTCGATTTCCGATTTGCATATGTACATTTATTCTTACGATTTAGGAAGAAGTTTAGGAAGAAATTCAAAGATATGTATGTGTGAAATCAACCAACCCGCACTTGGCCATCGTGGTTGACTATGGCCGAGTTACCCCTAACTTAGTTAGGGTAGACTCTGAGCGCCTCAGTGGGGATGTATAGTGAGCTGATGATGAATGAAAGATAACTGAACTGAGATGATATATGTAGATATATGATAATGAACTGTATCCAGACTTTACTTATTTCATCATTATTTATTTGGAGCACAACCGAAATTCAATTAATAAAAAACATGCAATTAATGAAATTTAACATTGATAGGTATAAATTAAAATATATTTATATATATACTTATTCGTAGGCTGGCAGGCAGGCAGGCAGGCAGGCAGGGGGGGGGGCATGCCGTAAAAATTAAGCCAAATTATTAAGGTTTATAAAACCTTATGAGTAAGATGAAGCCGGGGAGATGACTATGAAGATTTATATCAAATATCTGCACAAAAATTTGGCTTTGGGTACGATGACATTTGTAGTTGCAGCCGCAGCAGCAGCGAGCGCCGTACCCGGGTCCAGCGCAGCGTGGGCGCGGGCTCGGCGCGGTGCGGCGGCGCGGCGGCGGCGCACGGCAGCGTGAGCGTGTCGCCGAGACGCGCCACGTAGAGCGGTTGCGGGCGCGCACTCAGCCGAGGCGCGCGCAGCACGCGCACGCGCACGCCGCCCGACGCGCCCTCCGTGCCGAGAGCGTTGTACGGCGTGCACGAGTACACTCCCTCGTGCGACTCGTCCACCTGCAGCAGGCACCAGCGACATATACAGGTTGTGCGACGTATGAACCGACGGCCACAGGCCCCCGGATGTGCCCTGTAGCCGAAGCTCCGACGACGATGGGGAGCACGGTTCGCAACTCATTATGAAAATACATTACATTTTGAAATGACGCCTTGTTTATGTGTCTACATATGTTGTATAATAATGAACACAGTCTAAACGACCGGACCGATTTAAACCCGAGACTTTGACGGGATGGTAGCTAGTGTATGCATGAGTAACTCAGGCCATTTGTTTTGATTCGGACACTGAGGAAATCGCGAGCATCTGCTAGTATAATGTATACATTATGTTTCACAAAAATAATAATGAAACATTGTGCTGTTGTACGAGGGCTCTGAACCGAATCCTGGCTCGCGGTCACAGCCGCACTCGCTCCGCGCTGTTGCCGCTCCGTCGGACAGATAAGTACATATCTTTAGTACGTATAAAACTAAATTCAATCAATATTCGACGTTAACGCGAGTGTAAAGATGCCTTAGTATAGAATGTAATGTACGTTTACAAGATTGCTTCTTTCATTTGGAAGGAGATATCGCTGAACGAGAAGCTTAACTCGAGAGCAATAACAGGAAAGGTTAGATTTGCTGGATTTTAGCGCCTTCAACTCGAAGTGACAAATGTTTTAACTCAAATTGATTTTTCCTAAAATAAAAATATTCGAGTACAATATACTACTGAATATTGTAGTTGCAGAGGTTTTGGCGGTAGCAAACTGCTCGGTTGTGTCGGCGTAGCAAGCGATTCTTATGACAAAAAAAGGCACTTACGCGGTTAAACAATAAACTGCCGTTCATACTGTAAAAGACGCCGGGAACATTGTAGGGGTCGAAGAGGAAACCGTCTTTCTCCCAGCGTAGGTTAGTGAGCGGCGGGTTGGCGCTAAAATGGCAATCGAGGCTCGCCGCCTTGCCCGCGGCCAGGTATCTTTCCTTAGGCGAATACACTACTTTCGCTTTATCTGCAATATAATATAAAACGACACATAAATCAGTTGAATATATACAATATTATTAAAAAGATGAATGTATACAATAGAATAGAACCAATGCCGCTCCCTGTCCCGGCGCCCGGCCCCTCTGACTATATGCTCAAACAGGCGTCCAGACCTTCCCCCCTATCTACCCTGCTATGATGCCTTTATTTAAACAACGACTTATCTTTGTAAACAGCGCAGCCTTGGAATATGAAAGATAATATATAATAATATGTATATAACACATGCGCTTGTGAAACATATTAATCTAGACATTGTCAGTGGGGAAAAAACTTTATTCGCCTAGTAGCTTTGATAATTACGCGGGAGTGCCGAAGGCCACTCAACACCGGAAGAGTCGCCAAGTTATTTGCCTTTCGTCCGCCACTATAAGTACGTGGTGCGCTCACAGTGCACGTCGAGGAATGCGCTGGCGGTCTGCAGCTGGCCATCGAGCGCGCGCACGAGGCACTCGTACTCGCCCAGGTCAGCGGCGGCGGCGCGGGACAGCACCAGGCTGCCGTTGGGCGCGGCCGCCTGCGTGTCGCCGCCGCCCACGCGACGCCACTGCACTGCGGCACCAGTCTCGCGGGGCGCGCACTCCAGCTCGGCGCGCTCACCCTCCACCACAGTCGTGTTCATGGGTGGGGTCACGATTAGGTTCCCTCCTTCAAAATAAATAAAATTAATACATATTATTGGTACAATTCGTCACATACCTCATTTAATTTAGACTACATTCTTGAGGACAATTTGTTTCGTGGCAGAAGTTACATAAAAATACCTAAAATAAATTTACACATACGTATACCTCGCATGTTTATTTTAACAGTGGTAGAGCCCGCTTTAACATCTTCGCACGAATTGGTCCGGCTCGCCCGGTGAAATACCACGACCACACAGAAGACAGGCGTGAAGTGGAAGCAATTCCGCGTTTCGTTTGATGAGTGTGCGTCCCGGCCAAAATTAGTCCTCTTTCCCTTCCCGTCATATTTCTTATAAGGAAAGGATGGGAAGTGGAAGAGGACTTTCCGGATGAGAGGATGCATGGAAAGGGAAAATATTTTCTTTCTGTGCATCCTCTTCTCCGTCGATTAAAGGTAGGCAACGCATATGCAATTGCGTATGTCTATAGGCAACGGTCACTTCGCTATTTCAGGTGGCCGCTCGGTCGTTTGCCACCTTATGATATTAAAAAAAAATGTTATTTATTTATATGTTTGAAATATAACATCTTCAGAACTCGCGTCGGTGAGATTTAGAACGGGACTTTGGGTGTTTGCAGACATGTATATGTTAATATTTAGGGCTCACGCACCGTCAACCTCGAGATAGTAGAAGGTGCCATTGTTACGCGCCGGCGGCGAGCGGTTGGGGAAGAGCACGCGACAGCGGTACAGGCCGGCGTCGGTCTCGCGCACTGCGCTCACGTTGATAGAGCCGCGGCCGAGCCCCGCCGGCCCCCCGCCGCCGCCGCCCCCGACCACACGCCGCACGCGCCCGCCCCAGCGGTCGGCCACGCGCGCCGCTCCCTCGCCGCTCAGCCACGACAGGATCGTCTCGCCCTGCAACGTCACCCGAACCGCGGCTCAGTGTAAATAAACTACACAGCACCGCACTCCACCCGCGGATCTCTACAGTGCGCCGCTCTCATCCAATAATAGGAGCAGCTACGAATGCAGTGCGCATTTTGCTCACAATTAATCTATAGTCACATCGCATTGAAACAATCCAGAGGGGAGAGAAACAAAGTCGCAGCAAGGCCGAGGACGCTACCGCCTTCTCAGTGAATGTCGCTGATCGTCGTCGTGTCATCATTGTCATTATATAACAGGTCTAAAGTATAATTAATCTTTACTTCCTTACTTAAAAAATAAATGTGAAAGTAACTCTGTCTGTCTGTCCTTCTTTTACGCAAAAACTACTGAACCGATTAAAATTAAATTTGGTACACAGATAGTCTAGAACCTGGCAAAGGACAAAGGCTACTTTTTAACACGAAAAAGAAGATTGTACATTTGTATAGAGAAGTATCGTCAATATATTTTTTTAACGATAGCAGCTTCAAAAGTATTTTTTAGGTTGTTAATTTTGTATAAATAATTTGATATAAGTATGACATTCAATTTTTGTAAAAATGTTACTTTCAAGGGAGCAAAATAACAAGAAGGAATAGGGGATGAAAGTTTGAGAAAGTATTACAATACGTGAGGTTTATGTAAATGTTGTCTGAGGTTAACATGTTTTGTCGTAATGTTGATACAGTGTAACATCCTACCCAAAAACTGAATTTCACGCGGACGAAGTCGCGGGCACAGCTGTTATGTATAAAGTAGACAAACAAACGATAAAGAAAGTTTATACTATAAAAAATAAAACAATCGTAATCTATATGTATATATAATGCAATTGAAGCTATCATACATTTTTGAATAACTCAGAAGAACGTAAGAGTCTAAGGAATATCCTGTAACAATCTATGGACGACTCCATATCGTTTGGAAATTTTCGTGGTCTCATGAAGAGAGAGAGAGAGCAGACAATAACCATGCCTATAATCAAGGCACTGTTTCAGTGGTAAGTTCAATACGCATATGACTGGCTCTCTATTCCTTCACTGTGTTCACGATTCTTAGCTGACACAATCAGAGCGCCGGCCAACAATAACGGTCTAAGATTTTTTCTAAGAAAGGTTCTAAGTCCCGACTAACAAAGTAACGCATTCAGTTTCATTAAGTTTTAACTTTCAATGACTATACTACTTATGAGAACGACTAGCTTTTGCTTGCGACTTCGTTAGAGCAGAAATAAAAAAAATGGCCCAAGTTACTCCTGCATACATCAGCCCCGTTCAGTAAAAGTCCCGTCAAAATCGGTACAGCTGTTTCCGAGATTTCCCGCAACAGATTATAAATTTTAAAAAAAAATGCTAATACATAATTTGCCCACAAAATGTAATTTTTTGGATATTCCAGTTTTGTTAATTGTATACATAAGTTTAAATTAATCTATTTTGTGCGTTTGTGTGGAAATGGTGCTATTTGCAAAACGTGCATAGCGCAGGTGGGTGTGGGCACACGGGGCACGGTGCGGGCAGCGGAGAACAACTCAATCCTCGCGGCCCACGCGCACCAAATTAACATGATTAAGGATCTGGAGCGCCGCGAGCGGAGAGCGGCGAGCTGCCGCCGCAACTTATACTATAATACATTCATCTCTTTTACAACCAATGTTCCCGCATTTAATCACCTATACTCTATACACTATGGATGCAGTATTTGTCACAAAATTGACTCACGAAAACATCCAAATGTCATTTGTGTTCGTGACGCAGTTGCAACCAATTATTTTTCGCCTTCATTTTATGTTGCATATTAAACGATAAAAAGAAAGTTAAAAATGACTTGGACAACATGTTAAAATCTAGAATACAATTACGTATGTGTGTGTGTATCTCAGATAGATATGTACACTGTACAGTGCGACTCCTCGCTCGAAGCATTGCTCACATATAGTGCGGCAATTATCTATGTATGTACATACACGCAGCTAAGATACCATATAATATAATGTATGTACAATTACCACAAAAGGCTAAAGTTAGGTTTATCTTCGATAGTTTAATAGTTTATTATTATGTTACAATATTGTATATACTCAAACATTATATAACAACTCTTATCTATATACACATTATAAAGAAGTAGAATTTGTTTGTTCGTATTGAATAGGGTGTGAAACTACTGAACCGATTTGCTTTCACTTTCACAGTTGAGAAGCTACACATATCCGTGTGACATTAACTATATTTATTAATCCAAATTATATTTGAATTCTAAAATATATAATTTTATTGAACATTCTAAAAATAATAGTAAATAATATTTATAATGATATTTAATTATTATTTTTCTATTACATACATATAATAACAGAAGTTATTATTTTATTTTCATTTTAATCGTATATATTTAATAAATACTAATATTATAAAGCAGAAGAATTTGTTTGTTTAAACGCGATAATCTCAGGAACTGCTGATCCGATTTGAAAAATTATTTTTTTGTTTGATAGTCCATAGAGGAAGGTTTAAGTCTATATAACATTACGCTGCTACCAATAGGAGGGAAACGTCAGTGAGAAATGTTGCAAAAACGGAGAAAATGATTCACATTTGAGGACTTTCGTTGCGTGCGCTGCTTTAACGGTTTAAGTTACTCAAGAAATATGTATGAAAGTATTATTCCTTTTTAATGTCTATGGTATATATAATAGACTATATAATGTATAGATGGATGGATGTTTGAAGATATCTCTAGAACGACTTAACGGATCTCGATGAATTTGGCATACATATAGAACGTAGTATGGAAGAACACATAGGCTGCTATTTTTTTCTTGTAATTCCCCGCGGACGGAGTCGCGGGCGACCGTTAGTATAGTTACTAATGACATAGGAAGATAATAATAATCAAGCATGTGATTGGAAATTCAATATGGTAAATGCATGGAATATAAGGCTTCATTATTTACCTACTTACATACAGACGCTTCAATAATGCTAACTGTAAGTATAGATTATCGTATGATGACGACCTCTCGGCAAAATGAACCGCGGAGTGGACGAATGCGTAATAGCCTCAACACTTACGTCTTTATCCCATTGAAGGTGGTAAGGTATCTCGTTGCCAAACGGGAAGTCGAGATGACAGTTCATAACGGCGTAGCCGCCGACCGTCGCGCGTAGCCGCTCCGTCTCCAGCGGCAGCAGCGAACCGGCTGCGGCCACCAGCAGCGCGGCGCACACCACTGTCCCCCGGCCCAGTGCCATTGTCACAACAGCCCGCAACACGCGGTTCGCGGCCGGAACGAGCGGCACGACTGGCGGCAGAGCACAGCACTGACCGGCGACTGCGCTGCACCGCGTGCGCCTCTCTGCGGAAGTGCTGAGGGCCACGACGATGGCCGACCGTTCCTCCTGGCGGCTCCGACTCCCACCGACATACGTACAAGCTAAATAATTGTTGTGGACGTGCGACTTGTATATCAAGCCTATGTCCTGTTTATCGATTTTATACGGCCGGCCGAATCGGAAGCGTTTCGTCGTCACCGTGGCCCGCCAATTGGTAACAATGGGCACGGTGGCGCAAGGGCGAGAGCGGGCGACGCCTCGCAGGCGGTTTAACTAATTACATCATATCCACAATGACGAGTCATTGAAATGATCGTTCCACTTAGGGCGATGACGCGGCGGAGTGGACTTCGTAAGACGGAGGTAAGCTAAATTCCACGTCAAATCAATCTGAGATTGAAGCGAATTTGACGGCAAGCTGATCGTGTGCCTATACGCAGATAGAATATGATTGACATATTCCACAGTGATGAATATATCATAATTATATTAATACATTTATATAAGGAACATATCAAATTAGGGGCTTAAAACATGAGTTTAATCTTGTATCTGTAAAAATAACGAAAATTCCATACAAATTCCAACCCTTTATAACCCCTGTTTCGCGTTAAAAAGCATCCTATGTCCTTCGCCAGTCTCTAGTTCAGTAGTTTTTGCGTGAAAGGACAGACAGACAGAGTAATATTAGTGTAATAGCTGTCGCCCGCGACTACGTCCGCGCTATTGTTCCCCGTTTAGTTATCGATCTGGCTATACACTATTACCCTTGAATTTTGGAACACGCTTTATATATAGTAAGGATTAGGTACAGTTAGCTTTATTTGAAAATCTTTACCGAGATCGCCAAATTAAATCGACATTAACTTGGAGATAAATTAACAGTAAGCACTCATTCGCACGGGTGCTTTTTTACCGGAGTGTCATCCGCAGCAGCGTCGCGTTTTAAAAGCGCTGCTGTATGAACATGTAAATACATTTGTTCTTTTCGAACGCTTAATAAGCACGCGTAAAAAAGCGTTCATGTGAATGAGGGCTTACCATCCCAGTCCCAGGAATCTCTGACTCTCATAAAACACGTTTAACCATAGGCGTCGGTTAGAGAGGGGTCAGGAGGGGGAAACGTGATTGAGGATAATTAAAAAATATAAAATAGATGTAAAAACTACTTCGAAAAATTTGGCTCTTCCCTCTCTAGCCAAAATTCGTTTTCTTTCGTAGTTTTAAACTCACTAACTTTTACACACGCGCCTTTGTGGCACTGAGACAACTCGGTTTCTTTCTCATACTATTGCCCGCTATATACGTTCAGTTTTAACTGAAGATCTATCATCATCAACCTGCCCTTATCACTTACGGAGGGTGGGCACAGTATGTACTACTCCTCCATACATCTCTATCAGCCGTCATATCTGAATCTACCCCTTTCCTACGCATATCCTGTTTCACACATTCCGACGATCTATAGCGTGTATTAAGATAGATTTGTTTGACAACTGACGTCTATAAAATATCGAATTAATTTTGTATGAGAGCCAATGTTCTACTTAATGAACGGTTGTCGTAGTGTCGAACCGTCGCGTACAACGAAAAACTGTGAACTATCGAACATCGGTCTTGTAAGAAAATTAATCCACCAAATGGGTACTAATAATAATTTATTATAAGTATTTAGAAAGTTTTTGAATGTAATACAGTTATTATATTAGGATGCGAATCACACAATTAATGAAAAAATTAAATACATTTCTTTTTGGTTTATTAACACCACATTTTTTAAAGTTTTATTACTTTATGTAGTTATGAAGGATAAAGTGGCAATAGAAAGAAACAATTTTATTTATATTATAATTCATAATCAATTATCATGAAGTCTCGATTGCAAGTTCTATTCTATGAGAACAACCATCGAAAATCCAAATAATTATTGTTGCTATTTTACTTAACCCATATCAAGTGAATTTATAAAGTAATCTATCTTAAATAGACATACTATAGTGTCACTCACAAAGTCCAGGAATATATTTGTAGCTACAGGGTGTTATCATATGGTGGAGGCTATCAAATTATAAGAAAAGTTACAAAAGGTAATGTAACTTTTAACTATAAAAGAGTTGGATTTATTTTAGTATTTTTCTCCGTGTAGTTATAGATCTGGCTAACACCATTACTGTTTTATCGCTAAATTTTGGGACACGCTGTACAAACATTAAAACAAAGTTAATTAGAGCATGTTTTTATTATGATTTTACTTAAAATTATAACGGCCCCGGTTATAATTCAATTGTATTTTGAGAAATAATTAGAGAAATATAATGTACATAGAAGCAACATCAATTTATAATAAGTATAGTAAAAAAAACTGTAACATTAGAGGAAAAAAAATACAATTTAAAAAAGATGCTACGTTATTTTCTTTGTCAGTTAACAATTTTCTATCGATATTAATGAATGAAGTAGTCGAGGTCACGTCTCGTCCATTGCATGGTGGTGCTGGTGGTGCTCGAGCGGCGCGTCCAGCGGCAGGTGGAGCGCGTGCGCGGGCGGCGGGGCGGCGAGCGCGTGCAGCGCGGCGCGCAGCTCGAGGAAGCGGCGCTTGAACTGCAGCCCGCAGCCGCGCGACCGCCGGAACTCGAGCATGACGCGCGCCTCGCCCCCCGCCGGCGCCGCGCGCACCGCCCACACGCGCATGCGCAGCTCGCCCCCGCACTCGACGGCCAGCAGGCGCGGGTGCAGCTCGCGCCAGCGGTGTCCGTGCGCCGCCAGCGCCGCGCGCAGCTCCTCCAGCGCGCGCTCCTCGCTGCAGCTCACCCACACGCGCGTCATGCGCCGCACGAGCCGCTGCAGCACGCCCTGACGATACCAACATTCCATGTTTACTCTCGTTCGAAACTGCATCGATAAGTCAATTTAACTCGCATAGCTCGTCGACTGGATTCGGTTTCGGTGAGACCATATTTTGAAGACGGATTTAATTATTCGTGAAGCATAAGTTGCGGAGTGACGACGCGTGCATTTGTCAAAAATGTTATATAAGTCCTAAGTTATCAAGAGAGAAAAGGCGATGAATTGAGTGTATCTGGCATTGTGGCGTCACCTGGCGCGGGGTGTACTGGGTGTGCGGCGTGTGCTGGGTGAGCTGGCTCGCGGCGCCGGCCGGCGACACCAGCAGCTCGTCCGGGTGCGCCGGTTGCGACAGACTGAGCAGCGCGCGCACGTCCTCCTCGGCGGGCGCCACGTCCCACGCGCCCACCGCGCCCACCGCACCCACCGCACCCACCACACCCACCGGCTGGGAGCACCACTCGCGCCCCCCGCCGGCCCCGCCCGCGCCTTCCGCTGCAAACAATCCGGCACTCGTCTTCAACACAAACTTGACCGCGGCGAGCGGACAACTCGCGCAGACAACTTTTCGCTCAGGTACAATACAAATTCAACACAATTCCGATATATTTCCATCAAAGTACCTCGGAATTGGAATTAAAAATAAATTATTCAAGTAAAATGGAATAATAATAATTATATATATGTATGAATGTGCTGGATATCCCTCCCCGCACTCGGGGTAAACGCGCAAGGAAACGATGCGTTTGTAGTCATCTGCCCGAGGAGAGGATACTTCAAATTGTGATAGAAGAGAGCAGCGGCTAACAGTAATGAAGCAATATATACATTTACATGTATTGATGTGTTCCTGAATGTCAATTATATCTAGTTTACAGTGATACATATGCGGTATATCCCGATATTATTTATTTTGCTTACGCTCAGGACACGTGTGAAGGTGTCGAGTCGCAATGTACATACGGAAAGGGGCTGTTAAAAAATTCTCGATTGCATTTAGACTTTTCAAAAAGGAAATGACTGCAAAAACATTATTCTTAATGTTTATATTAGATTATTGTATGCCAACAAAGGAGCGGAGGCACTTTTGTGACTTATTTACATAACGATGTTTTAATAAATTCGGAGAATGATCTCTAAAGACAAAAATATAATTAAGAATGATAACGATGGACGACTCTGCGCCCGGGCACCAGAGCACCAGAGCACCAGTGCAGTGAGGAGAGCTGCGTGCGGGTCGGACGACTCCTCTCCTCTTACTCTTACAATGTGAGGGAGAGAGAGAGAGAGAGAGAGAGAGAGAACTCACCGCACGCCTCGCCGCGGCCGCGTGTCTGCGCGCGACGCGGTGCTTTGGTAATCTAGCTTTATGAGCACTGGCACACGTCATGGAGCTAAATCGCCAAAGTACCGAGTCGCCGCTTTCGCTGCCGTCGTGTCGTGTCGTGTCGCGTCGTGCCGGGCCGTGCCGCGCCGCGCCGTGCTGAGGCACGAGGCATCTCTGAGACCGTCGCCACTCAGAGTCACCTAGTACCTGACACGGAGCCGCCGCTCCGCCGCTCCGCCCCGCCGCTCTGCCGCTCCGCCGCTCCGCCGCCGCACATCTCGCCACTAATGGCGCACATCTTACGTCACCTTCTTCGTTCAATTTAAAAATATATAATTACAGAAAATTTTACAGCTTAAGTCAGAAACCCATTTATTTCAATAATTTAAACCGCTTTAAACCGTACACTTACTGCTATAGATCGTCGGCCAACAGCCGGAGAAACGTCATGTCGTACATCCAGAAAAGTAAACGATGGAGGTAATTACCGGCGTACTGGTGAAGGGAGTCGTGCGCGGCGCTGGTCCAGCGGTGCAGCAGCAGACGCGACAGCGAGGGCCGCGCGGCGGGCTGCGGGCTGAGCGCCAGCCGGAGCAGCGCGCGCGCCTCTCCGCCCAGCCTGCGCCACGCACCGCCCGCACCAGCCGCACCGGCCGCACCGCACGCACCGGCCGCACTCTCCCCCGCGCACCACGCGGCGTAGCGCGGCTCAGACTCGCACGCGCGTTCCCAGGGTAGTTCTGCAAGTTCACAATTATTATGTTTTGCAAATTACACTGCATTAATCATGAGAATAAAAACATCCCGGCAAAGGGCGCTTCTATCGACTTCTTTATTACATCACTTTGTATCGCTTTCCAAAAAATTAGAGTCATATTTTTTCACAATTCGGCGAAGGTATTTTTAATTCTAGTCAGGCGATGGTCTACAATATATCAGTATGTACCAGGTAGCTTCGCGTCGGAATCGGCTCTCGACTTTAACCAAAATGTTCATGTCATATATAACATATGTTTTAAATTGTAACCTTCTAGCTTTATCCACAACGAAGTTACAATGGTGCGAAGCGCTTCGAGAAGAGTTGTTCGGCCGTACTCGCCACGGCGGGTGCACTGGTGCGCACAGATATTAGAATATTGGCAGGGTTAACGGTTTCAAATACGTTAATACCAAACTTTTTATCTTAAATTTTCGTTTGATTTTAAAAATTCGTTGTTTTTGTAACGGGCAGAGCTTTGCATCTCTCTCTGTCACACAGCAATCTCGCTCGTGCTCACCGCAGTAACACAAAGCTCCTACTCAATGTTCGTCGCGTTGCGCGTAATGTAGCAGCAAGTATGCACAAACTATGTTAGTTTTAGTACTTGCCAACTACGGTTTTGTAACGAAAAATCAAATCCTGCTTTTGTCTCGGACAGACTCTCGACCACAGTCTCATGTATAAAATAGAAAGTTTCATTTCTTCGTGCATACTTTATCCAACTTTGCGACGAGTTATACAATTTCTAATAGCAGTCTGTGTCGGTCCAACAGGTCGTCTTTAAGATAGCGCGCGCCGAGGCGAACACCCCCAGCACCCCCAGCGCCGAGAGCTTTCCTTCCCCCGTGATGTTCAGGTGATGCTTTCCGGGGAATCGGCAATATATAAATAATCTTTTCTATGAACGAGAGAAGACGGCGCGACAGCGGCAGCGCTCGGGCCGTAACTTCGGTACCGTAACTTTAGGGCTGGCACGCCTACAGCTAGGATACCAAAGACACGGCCCGGCGCGAAATCAATTTCTTTTCCATGCGGCATTTACTTCCTAATAAATGTTCAATTAAATGAAATATAACAATACCTTAAAACATCCACACGTCACTGACCTCCGAGCAGCATGGCGTGCAGCACGACCGCCGCGGACCAGACGTCGGCGGGCGGCGCGCGGTACGGCCGGCGCGTCGCTAGCAGCACCTCGGGCGCCGCGTACGGCAGCGTGCCGCACACGCTGGACAGCAGCCGCTCCCGCGCGCCCTGTCTGCAGCGCCGCACACGTCACCGCACGTTACACACGTCGCCGCACTCGCCGCACCCTCGCCCACCCTCACCAACCCTCACCTGAACACGGTAGCCATGCCGAAGTCAGAGATCTTGAGGTTGTCGTGCGCGTCGAGCAGCAGGTTCTCAGGCTTGATGTCGCGGTGCGCGACGCCGCGCGAGTGCAGGTAGCGCAGCCCGGCCAGCAGCTGCCGCCAGTAGCGCCGCGCCGCCGCCGGCGCCATGCCCGCGTCCGGCTCTGCGCCACCACACGGGGCTCGTACACCACACGGCCGCACATCACACAGTTACAGCGATCGAACGCGACTCGCGGCGCAGGGAGTGTCAAAGTGCAAGAGACCGATGCGGTCGAAGAGCTCGCCGCCCTGCGCGTACTCCAGAAACAGGTAGTGCTTGTCCGCGTAGAGGCGCTCGCCCATGCAGCGCAGCACGTGCGGGTGCCGCAGCACGCGGTGCAGCGCCGCCTCGCGCGCGCCCCCCGCACCTCCCGCACCCCCCGCGCCGCCCCGCACCGCCTTCAGCGCCACGCAGGCGCCGGAGCGCGCGTGCACCAGCAGCCGCACCCTGCAGCGACAACAACAAGGCTTTACATACAAAACATTTCTGCCATCCTACTTTTGCCTTTCGGTTCGTCTCGCATTCATACTTCGACTCATAAAGTTTGATACAAAAACGCTGTTATCTTAGGCACGTGAATCTAACTCATAGTGCGTCTAGATTTTGCAAAAGTTATATAACAGCAAGACTTCCCCAACATCCCACGAAACAGAGAAAATCTGAGGAGATAGGGACGTTACGAAGAGAACGTTGTACTGGATGAGACAGATAATTACTAGTGGGGGCCCATTGGTCTAAATTCAACCATAGTATTATTTATTTCTGCTTTAAAACCGCTGTATGCACTTCTCCACACTTCTCTAACTGGGTTCAATTTCCCGTCTACTCGTTGTACGGACGAATTTGCTTACAAAGGGATAAAAAATATTATTAATATTAAAATAGCAAAAATATATATAATTTGATAACATTTAGACTGTTTCAACTTACGAGTTACATGTAATACATTAAGGGATGTCTATTTAAAGTGTTACTCTATTGATCCTATTGGTGGTATTTCCTATTTTTTTGGTATATTATAAAAAAACTCAAATTTAATTCATCTCCAAAAAATGTATTATAATAAAAGGTATTTGTTCTTCGTTCAATTGACAAATCATTGTTTTAACTTGAATGTTAGTGCACCTATTCGCAGTAGTTTGTGGTGCGCTTTGTTATCAGCGCTCCCTCATCAAAACCACGTGCCTGACGACGGAATCTTTTGATTTCTTTTTCTCCTCTGAGACGAGTGAAATCCATAAAGTCCGTCTCTCCTGTTAAATACCTTGCGACATCGGAATCGATGGAGCTTCTATTGTATCTAACGAGTATTATAAATACGAAATTATATGATGAATCTATGGGCGGCTGTCACCATGTATGTGTCTTCAAAATTACTAAATAGATGTAAATCAAATTTTGCACAGAAATTGAATGTAGTCCGAATGAACGAATAGTCCAGAGAATGAAAGCTTCAGTTTTTTTTTATATATAATTACACAATAACTACAGTTTTCCCCAATTCCCCGCGGATGAAGTGGCGCTCAACAACCAGTGAGAGGCAGAGGCAGAGGCAGAGGCAGAGGGGGCGAGTTGCCGATGCAGCTCGAGCTATCGTTGCGCGGTGTAATATACGAGCGTTAGCCGAAAATATTGAGGCACATAAAAACATGCGGCGATGGCGACAGCGACCGCGCGGGGTGGTTAAACTTTCAAGGATGGCGGCGGCCGCGCCGCTGATCGTGTTTTTGCCGCGCATCAGTTTCGCCCGCGCCCGCGCCCCGCTCCGCCCTCGACCACCGGACACTTCATCAAGTAGACTAAAGCAGATAAATCCCAGTGTTCAACAATATACAAAAAACTTGTCTATTTTGGGTTATTGGGTGCCATAAAACGCTATTATAAAACTAGTACATATATATGCTAATTTTAAAACATAACCACCAGGTACCAGGTTAACTACTTCTATGCCTTTCTCCCTAGCCTAGCCGGAAAGATTCAACCTAACACAAAGCAGATGTGTATTTCTTTGTTATGTTCAACTTTTTGCCTTATGGAATGGCATATATTTAATATCCTTTTCTGTAATTCCTCTCCTGTGCAATGAACATGTTGCATCTCTAGTCCGATGACAGTCAGCATGTTTAACACAGGCAAAACATGTCCAGTTTATTACTGATGTGTCTATGTGAAATGGTCATTTCACTATTATAGCTACTAGTGATATAAGGTATATTACTTGTTTGCCTCTATTACTTCTTTAACAAACATATTTCCTTCCTTATATATAAAGCATAAGTCTGTTAATATTGTAAGAATAGTTAATAGTGATAACATCAACATATGTATGTATAAAATGTCTGCTCGTAGCCTTCACCAAATATCCAAAGCCAGGCAATGCTACAAGCTAAATATTGTTTTATGTTGTTGGTTTTGTCTGTCTACCTTTCACATATAAACCACTCAACTAATTTACATGAAATTTGGAACAATTTTTAATGAGAAAAAGTATGGAAAGTTGTATGGAAGTATCATCATTTTTACAGTTAAACCTTTGAATCTTATTTTAAAACTGTTAATTTTATATAATGTAAATAATGTCAACTATGTGACAACTATATTTTATAAAATTATAATGTCAAGCAAATATAAGAAGCACAAACTCGCTAACTGGATTTCAACATTGTTGGCCTTTACTTCATAAATAATTTGTTAACTTTTTGTCTTTGCCTGTCATACACAAGGCAAACTCTTATTTTGTAATTATTCTTATATCTTTAAATCAACAATTAAAAACGAACATATTCCACACAAGTTAGAGATATTCAAAGCTAATGACATTAACACATCAACATTCACTTGATATTGAATTCAGCTTAATGGACTTCTCAAAAGCAACATTCATTAATCGAGATACGAGGCGGAGGCATCTTATTATGGTCCGGCTCTCGCGGTTTAAACGCGAATCACAATTTGCACTCCACTAATAATGTGGCCCACGAGTATCTGGACAAATAATCTGGAGTTAAAGGGAGGGGACGAGTCGCCGGCTGATAAATATACTATGAAAAACTCACTCTCCATAAGAGCCTTCCCCGAGAACTTGCGCCACCAACCATCCCTCGACGAATTCTCCTCCGGCCGCCATCGTAATCCTGCGACAATATACACTTTTAGTTGCTTTGACTCCACCACCACGCCGCCTCGATCATCCGCCGCCGTTCGACACATACATCACACCAATCTCGAATAGTGAACGTAAAATTGTATTTGTGCAAAAATCCAAGAACAATTGTGGCACTCTAGAACACAATCAGAGTTTAAATAACTTTACGTACAAAATATCTCGTATATTAGCAATAAAAGGTGTCTAAATGGCGGAAGGCACGTGGAGTTCGGCGAACAAAGCAAATGCCGAACATCGCCGTCTCCTTGTAGTCTCCACCCGATAACGGTAATCGCTCATCGAAAATACAATAATTTTAGAAGCAATTCTCATGCAGACATTAAAATAAAATAGAATTATGATGTGAATTATAGCTTTTCACTAACCTTTCAACATATGCACCATTTAGCCATTTTCCTTTTCCCTTCCTTCCACAATTCGTTCACCAATCGCTGACCAACCCGGCCGCGCCATCATTCCATCGAGCTCAATCGGCAATTTTAAGGCAATTTTTTCGAATGAAAAAGATCAATGGCTTCTTGCGTTTAGAAACACATTGGTTTGTGGTTATTGGTAAAATAATTGTTTAAATTTGATTGTTTATTTTTAGTTATTTTAAGAACATACTATTTGCATACTATTGTTAGATTAGGTTAACTTAATAGAACGGTAAATAGTTTTTAAATAAAAATAAATTTATTTTCAAAAGAGACCGACAAAGTTATCTGGCCAGGTTGATCTTTGCCAAATCGCTTCTGGTTTTGTGATTAATGTTACCAGTTCATAAAAATAAAAAAACTGGTTTTGTTGACATGACATTGACGTTGACGTCGTATCGTTTGACAAGCGTAGACGCGAAGTATATTATTATTTTTCGATTCTTTTGTTTGTGAATTTACTGTTAAATTTTGACTCTTGCAATGGTATTTATTTGATACTAAAACAATCCTTTAACAATAATACGATTTTATAGAACTACTTTAAATAAATATTTTTGTTCTAGGCGGGCTACTCCGAGGACCAGTTAGCAGGTGAGTCATACGTTAAATAAAAATGGTAATCAATAATCAAGCATTATGTATTATGTGCATACCTGCATAGTGAGCAACGGATGAGATTAACGACTATCATAAAAAAACTCGGTTTAAGCCATATAAATAAAGAGTAGAAGAGCATAGTGAGTTAGCAAGCAGGGTAGCGAGGGCGGAGCGTCGTCGTCGTCGTGCGCTGTGCGACTGTGACTCACGTCAATCAACCTTACTACCGAAAGCGTCGACTTTTGCAAGCGCCCTAGTTTCCTTATATGGTTCGTATTTTAAAGTAATTCTGAAGGAGTGGGCACGCAGTGCTGCGCCGAGCGTCCGTCGAGCCGCTCCAACATGTTTATGTACGAGCCCCCCACTAAACTCAATCTCACTTCTGTGGAAGGTACATTTGTCTTACTATTATATTCATTCTAAAGTAGTCCATATCCTTAAACTTATGTGATTTCAGAATTCCAGGAAGCATTCCAGCTGTTTGACTCGCGTGGTGATGGCAAGATCCACGTCGCGCAGATCGGCGACGCGCTGCGGGCGCTAGGTCAGAACCCCACTGAATCGGATGTCAAGAAGTGCACTCTGCACCTCAAGCCGGATGAGAGAATATCTTTTGAGGTCTTCCTGCCTATTTATCAAGTATGTACCACTTATTTTTGATTGCCATGGAGTATCATATTAGTTTAATAATACCCACTCTTGGTATAGTGAGAATATCATGTATAAATAGATATGCAGTCATTGAGAAAACCAGTTTGTGTTCAATTACAAAAGTACTTTTCAATATGTCATTAAACAAGTACTGATAACACTAATAACAAAGTGGATGTTTATATAAACTTTACCAAATGCTCATTCTTTATGATTTTCCTATTGCACCATTTTTGTAGCTCTGTTTGTATATTGAGTGTGTGTGTCTGCAGGCAATATCGAAAGCGCGCAGTGGAGACACGGCCAATGATTTCATTGAGGGCTTGCGCCATTTTGACAAGGACGGTAATGGCTTCATATCGTCAGCGGAGCTGCGCCACCTGCTGTCCACACTGGGGGAGAAGCTGAGTGATGATGAGGTTCTCCTACATTTCTAACTTATCATTGGGGTGCGGGTTGTGTGCAGTGACATCAAGTCACACTGACCTTGCATATCATGTAACTACTTGTTACCAACCTTGCAACTTTTAATGGGATAATCAATTAAAGTTTGTAACAATTATCATAATGTGTATAGTCAGTTTATAATTATCAGAATAATAAATGTTGATAGATTATCAAAAAAAAAAGGTATTGGGCTATTGCAAAAAACACAAATACGCCCACGAAAAAAAGAACGTTTGTTTAAGAAGTATCCTCCCGTTAACTCCCGAACGATGTTAAATCTTTAAACACTTTCTTTCTTCGTTTTTATTTTGGTCATTCATAATCATCCATATTTTCATAATTATGATGTAAATGTAGCTTCAATATGTGCTGAACTGTCACTGCGTGCCATCCACTTCATGTTGTATATACCATATGTATAACTGTGCGCGTTTGTACTAGAGCACATGTACACATTACAATGCGGTGTATATACATCCTGTTGACATTCATTTATTACATAATCACCATTACATCAGAGTTCACTATCATCAGTGGCAAATGCATGTGCTAAGATATGATTCATTACTAAGAGGAATTCCAAACTGCAGGCTCATGCTCATAATTGAGACAAGATTGACAGAAATATTTGACACAAAAGAAAAAAATAGCATGAAGTGAGTGTGCGATGCGCGCGCGTGTGTCTGCAGGTGGAGCAGCTGCTGCAGGGCCAGGAGGACTCGCAGGGCAACGTCAACTACGAGAACTTCGTGCACCTCGTGATGCAGGGCTAGACTTCCATGCCGCCTCACTCACACTATTCCCTTTCAATTCCATCATCTCTAAATATTCCAAAATATCTTCATAGACTTTTGTATTATTTAACTTAGGCATGTTATTATTATTTGTACAAATGTATGTATTACAATAAAATTATATCATAAAAAATAGTTTTAATTTAGTTGATTAGAGCTGCGTAGTGGAGTAGTGGAGTCGGGTAAGTCAACTAATATTGATCACATTTTGACGTGAAACTTGTGTCACCATTATATGAGAAGCCTGAAAACCATCAGTAATCCCATCCCATATCTCAAAAAAAATCAACGGTCACAAAGATGCGTTGCCGTTCTTTTTAGCCAAATGTAGTCTTGTATCATAAAATTAATTTAAAAAAAATATTAAGTGCTTTTGTAAGTTTCACCCTTTCCGAGATATAAGGGTACAAGTGATTTAGGCGGTTGTATTTTCTCAAGCTGAATTACAGGATCGATGTAGACTTTCCAGCTTTTACAAATTTAATTCCTAACTTTCAGCTCCATGTGAATCGTTGTATTTATTATGTATACATGCACTGGAGTAATAATTGCAAGCAAACAACTCATTGTGAGAGCGTCGGTGGCTCAGGGCTCAAGCCCTTGACTTGCAATCTGCAGGTCCTGGGCTCGAATACCGCCATGTACCAATGAGTTTTCCATTTACATATGTACATTTATCAGAAGTTCTTACGCTGAAGGAAAACATCATTATGCAACCTGCACATATCTGATAAGAAATTCAAAAGATATGTGTGAAGTCAACCAACCCGCGCCTGGCCAGCGTGGTTGACTATGGCCTAATCACCCCTAACTTTGGGCAGACTCCGAGCCCCTCGGTGGGCTCGTATAGTGAGAACTGATGACGAACTCTTTGTGAGAGGATGGTGCGAGGGAGTTCTTGCAGTTGACGACACGACTCAGTTGGAGGGAAAATAAAAAAGAGTTTGCTAGTAAATGATTTAATACAAAACTTTTATTATTTCGGCAGCAAGTTGACTAGGCTCTTACACTAATGCGGTACGTACAAAATGTAGAAGAGACTCTTGCTACTGATGCAATTAGCCGCGCTCAAACTTCTGTCATTGATCAACATTCTACAACATTGTATTGTGGACCAAAATCATGATTTTTGTTTCAGCCGATTACTGTGTCAAATTATTTGATTACCTTCGAGCGGCCACTGGACTCGGTGACGGAACTTGCGGCCGCTGCTGTAGCGTAGGAAAAGGAAGAGAAACAAGCAGCAACCGTAGAGTACAGCGCGCGCGACATTTCTTTGTAACTGTGGCCGCGAACAGATGAGGCCGAGGGTGGGCACGTTCTAACATGTTATGTACGTGTCATGTCGTGAAATGTCGCTACATGAATGGGCTCATCGGAGCGTTAATGCTTGAACACGGAGGATATGTCGTTCGCGCGGCGCCTTACATTTATACATTTTCTAATATCTACATACAGGTATTCTTATAAACTAATCGTAGGCGCTGATAGCGCAGGCGTGCCTCGCGCGCACTCTGCACGCGGCTTGCGGAGCACGCTGCACGCGGCTTGCGGGACCGGCTGCACGCGGCTTGAGCACGCTGCACGCGGCTTGCGGGACCAGCTGCACGCGGCTTGCGGGACCGGCTGCACGCGGCTTGAGCACGCTGCACGCGGCTTGAGCACGCTGCACGCGGCTTGCGGGACCAGCTGCACGCGGCTTGCGGAGCACGCTGCACGCGGCTTGCGGGACCGGCTGCTCGCGGCTTGAGCACGCTGCACGCGGCTTGAGCACGCTGCACGCGGCTTGAGCACGCTGCACGCGGCTTGCGGGACCGGCTGCTCGCGGCTTGAGCACGCTGCACGCCGGCCGGCGCCGTACAGTCTCACAACACTCAGACTATTAACTATGAACTAAACACAAGTGTCCGCGCGAGGAGGATGCTTCAGTTGTTTTCGTAATCTACAAAGTCTTCGCCTTTTCTAACAATTCGTTGATAAATTTCTGAAAATTTACAAAACTGTGTGTGTGTATTCAAGACTTACAAAATGTTGTTTGTCATTAGCTTGTTTTGGAAAATGATTTGTTACGCGTCTCTATGATGTATGATAATAAAGGGAAGGAGTTATACTACGCTCAGGTAAGTATCGACTAGTAACAGGGCTAGGGCAGGGATCACTAGCTTCTAATATCTACGTCACAACTAAACTTTTATAAATGTTTGTTAATGATATCTCATTGTGGCAAAATTAAGCGCCTTTAGTAATAATGAAAATATTTTTTGTGACAAAACCTTTCGCATCGAATGAAAATGATGAATATTATACAGGCTGTTGTAAATATGTGAGCATCCTGTTCATTTTAACTTAGTTCTACAAAAATGTATAGTTTAACAAAACTATGGTTTCAATATAAACAAAATGTATAGAAATAGTCTTTACTATTTGAAATATATAAATAAATAAATTATAAACATCCGAGAACTCTGGCGCCTAAAGTACGCAACATATAGATAGAGACTTATAAATAAAGGTAACTTGGGTTTTATTCGCCTTTTTCGACCAAGGAATCTGTAGTACTCTGTTGTAGATGTCATTCCAGGACATTTTGTAACCTAAATTAGACCCCCATTCGGTTGTCAGATTTTTCTGAAATTTGGTAACTGTCCACAGTGCTCACCTCCGCAGCACGCACTGGCGCACCACCGCTCAACGTAACATTGCCACTTGCCTATTGACT